ATTTCCTTTACATTATTTTATACAGAAAGGCAAAATCATTCTGTCATTTTGACAAGCCTGTACGAAAACAGACAATCACTACCAATAAGACTGTTGCTAAATTGCCACTGTGTGTAACTTTTGTTACAGCTGACTGTTTTTCAATTAGGTAGCAAGTACAGTGGATTTTAATTTTTTTTTTTGGGGGGGGGAGAGGTTGCCTGTCTCCATTCAGCACATACTCAAGTGGTGGAACAAAAAACAGATGATGCACTTGACACCACTTTGGACTTGGTATCAAGATGCAGTTACTGAGAACTCAAGAAGACATGCAACATACTGCAGAGACCTGCTTTGTTCTATAAATGCTTTTGACAGCTACTGATAAGTGGGAGCTAGGGTACTCTGACACAAAGAATTCTGCTGTAATCCTAGAAGTTACAGGAAAGTGTCACTAAATATGCAAGTGCTTAGTCATCAGTCTTCCATATTTGCACCAATACTGTTTAGATTGACTTACTCAGAGGCAGTATCTGACACAGAGGTGCCTGCTGGCAGATGGTTCATTGTCTTACTTCATTGTTAGTTGTGTTACTGGTGTGTATGACAGCTATCTTGCCTTGTAACAGCTAATTAAATCAGTTAAACAGAACAAGAATCAAAGGCCACGGATACTGAGCAAATGCATTTGGTTATCAGAGCTTCAAATGGGAAACAAATTCATATTGTTACGGTAGCAGAGGGCAAAGCTCCAGTGACTTTGTTTCCTTTAAACATTCTTTTGTTAACAAGGATAGGACAGAATGTGGATAGATCAATCAACTGCTAGTCTAATGTGGTAAAAGGAGGGGAGGAAAAAGAAAGAGAGAGAGAGAGATTTCACAGAGTGAAGCAGTATTTTTCATGCCAATGGCAGCATGCGCTGTAGAGCAGCTCACTAATCAAAGAGCCCTGCCAATTCCAAAGTGATGCCCGGCTATCACTGAGCAAGTACAATCTGCTGCTGGATTCCTTGATTTCCCCTTAGAAAACAAAGCTGTACAGCAGTTATCTTAATCAAAATAAGCCAAGCAGACCAGCTTGCTGAGGAGAAAAACCTCTGGTGAAACAGAGCAGGCAAGTCTCGCTGGATGCTTGCTCCCATTGAGCGAGTTCAGCTGAAGACTGCTGTGCCATTTTATAGCTGCTAGCAAAAATGACAGAATATCCCCTCTCTCTTTCTTGAACACATGGGATAACACATGCTCATTTATCTTGAACACACAGCAGGGCTGTTGCTAGGAAAATGTGCCCTCATCCAACATTCTCCTTCAGTCCTAAAACTGTCCACACATAAAGCCCATTCTATACAGTTTAATGATTTGCAGAGTAGCCTTACTTCACAGTGCAGTGTCAAGCAGTATGGGAATTTTACATCAAACAGCAGAATTTGATTTTCTTTCCCTGAAGATGGGAGAGAAAAATACTACATATTCTGCAAATTAAGCCAATCATGAAAATATGTCATATTAATATCCTACCACCTTTTCCCTTGCTATATCTTATGAAACAACAAACTTCCAAGAAAATTTCGCTATGAAAACATTAATTTTAAGGTTAGCTTCACGTATTACATTTCAGGTGTATACTGATACAAGAAAGATGTGTTTGCAGACAAATGCACTGTGTTCTATTGGTTTAAATCCTATGGTAAACTTATGACATACCCAAGCTTAGAACCACCACTATACACAACGTTAACAATATATTTTTTGCAGTTAGTTTATCATAATTTCCTACTTGTGCTATGTATCCTTAGGCAGCAATCCTATATGAATTTACCTGGATATAAACTGTGTTGAAGTTAATGACACTCGATCATAATGATTTCAGCTGTAAATCTGAAGATTTGGCTTGTAATTTCCACTCACCAAAACTTAAGTATCATGGTGGAAAAAAGAGGAAATAGCATCATTCACCAGAAATGTTGATGGATAATTATGCTGGGGCTAAGAAGCCTTCATCTATACTCAGGATCAGCTCCAGGGCAACCTCCTGGCTCTTCCCATCTAATCTAAGAAGAAAACCTTAGAAAATTCTGTCTTACTCTTTCACTTACTCATAGTCTGTAGAACAAGAATATAAATCTGAGCCCTTTTAATAATTAAAACTTATATGTGAAACTCTTATTAAAAATAATACATTGACCCCTAAGCATAAATTAAACATTTTGTTCTCAGGAAAGCTGTCTTATGCTGTCTAAATTTATGAAGGAATTTAATTAACTTAACAACACCAAAGGACTTTTCTTCTGGGTCTCAAAGCCCCCAAAGTACAAATCAATACTATATTTTAATTTCCTCACCATCTCTTGGAAATGATGAAAGTAATGGCCACTAAAATAAAGGCAGCTTTCTGAGGTTTTTCTCAACATAGTGATTATTTGTGATTGGTAGAGAAACAGTTCTATTCCACATGCTTTCCTCTTAGAAATATTCAGAGAAGTTCACCAGCAAACCATTGATGCTTTTCATCAACAGAGGGAGATAACTTTCTATTGTGTAAAGGCTATGCAAATTAATTTGAAAAAAGTTTCAATTCTCAAAGGTGTAAGATTTTTCTAAATTGATATGGAAAATAAAATAGAAAGAATGAGAGAAAATTCAAAGTCATGCAAACCGAGCTTTAGTGTTTCAATGAGACTTTCCCTCCCCTCCCCCTGTACATTTCTGTGCACTTCCAATCTGAGTTGTGTAACCCTCTGCTGGATCAAAGACACACCATGAATCAAATGAGACGGTTGCACTGTAAATTAAACTATGTAAATGTCAATTAATACTTTGCAAGCATAACTCACATTTATGTACAAATTATATTTGAGAGCCAGTGTGGTGTAGTGGTTAAGAGCATGGGACTGGGACTCAGACGATCTGGGTTCTAGTCCCCGCTCAGCCATGGAGCCAACTGGGTGACTTTGGGCCAGTCACAGACTCTCAGCCCAACCTACCTCACAGGGTTGTTGTTGTGGGGATAAGATGGAAGAGGACAATGATGTAAGCTGCCTTGAGCCCTTTGTAGGAAAAGGGCAGAATATAATCGGAAAATAAATAAAATAAATTAATAAATATTGCTTTTACGGTACTGATAAAAAAAACTTATGAATGATGGTGTATTGAGGAGAAGAAGGAACACAGTTCATCATAGTCCATTTAAGAGGGAAAAAGTAATTATGCTCGCTTTTATGTGAAAGTATTGCAAGATGACAGTGATTTTTTTCTTCTCAATCCACTTAATGATTTTCTGTCATATAAAAAATCCTGAAATATTTGCCTGAAATAAGCACCATACTGCTACATGTAGAAAGCATGTTTGTGTAAGGAATTTACAATAAGAGCAAGCAGATGAAGACAATACTTGACTTCTTAAAACAATATTGTTTTGCTCATGCTAGCAAGATGCATCACTTTGGATCAGCTATAGGGCCATAGATACAATGGGCAATAAAATGCTTAGCTAATAACGCTGGTCAATTTTAACTGTGCCAGTTTTAACTGGTGTTATTGGGATGCTTAGAGTCGTCAAGTCTTAGCCAACATGCAGTGATTGTATAGAAGATCATAACCACTGCTTTTCTCCACTGTTTTGCAGCACAAAGGCTCATTGATTAGATGCCATCTATATGATACGGTCCCTGGGAAAACACGATGCTTACAGAAGAGAAGCCAAACAATTTCTGTAATGATGGTGGTGTGGAATGGAGTAACAGGCCAACTTGTGGGGATATGTTTTGTCCTTGCCTCCCCATGTCTTTCAGTGTGTTAACCCATGCACTGCCAACACCTTATGGAAAGAATAGAAATAGCTTTTCTTCTGCCAGTTATTGAGTTAAACAGATTTATCACTCTGAGTTTTCAGAAGGCAATTTTAAAACTAGTATATATAAAGGTGTGTGCAATATGTATCGAATTTGCTTTTGCTGTTTATTGTTCATTTTACAAATGTAATTCTGTGTATTTTCTTCTACAGACTCTTCGAAAGAATATGACTAAAATCCATTGGTTTAATTAAACTAAGTTAGATTTTTCAAGCACATTTAAACATGTTTTCTCTCTGTAGGTTTGTTACGGGCTTCATAATGCTCCATTATGGCAGACACAACCAGACATCAACACAAGCAGTTTTACTGAGTGCCAGGCAGAGTGCAGTTTGCATTTGTAGGCTTCTTCTGACAAATGAGTCATGAGACTTGTTTGGGCCTGTGAAAAGCTTTTCCTCCATTAATTTTTCTGCTTCTCCTAATGGCTGGGGACTGTGAAGGTTATTTTGTAGCACCTCCATGCAAACACACAACATGTTAGTTTTTATGCAGCAGCAAACCTGCAGCAAGACCGTCCCCAGCTGACTTGCCTATCTTTTGCTCCTTTCTATCTCCTTGCTCCCCCAACATCCTGAAGCATCATGCTCAAAACAGATTCAGAAACGAGGCCTCAGAAACAATCTTCACATGTACGACAAGCAGGGATATTCAGCACTGCAATGTCAGCTGTGAATCTATGACGTAACTACAACTAGCTTGCAACATGCTTTCAGCCACTGGCAGAAAAGTTCTCCTGACATACCCTTTCTTTGGCCTAGAAAGAATTTTTTAAATTAGTGAATTAAGTAAACAACTCTGGATTTGACTGAAGAACATTTTTTTTTTCATCTTTCTGCATCTCTGCAATATTTGGCACTAGGCATCATTTGCACCTTAACTCTTTTTAAAAGCACCATATAGCACTGCATTCTTCTAAAATTACATCCTCTCTTTTAACTAAAATAAGTAAATAAATCTCAAGACAACCTAAAGGTTTGCTTCTCTTTTAATGCAAAAGGTAAATAGGTTTTCTGGAGAGTTAATCCAATTCCTCAAATTTAATTTCAGAAAGATGCTACATAATATCCATTACAGCAAACACTGTCCTACAGATTTGATTAGCAGGCTCTGCGGACTTGCTTATTTTTGAACTGAAAGTGCAGTACAGTCTGGATAAATGAATTACCTGAGCAACGGAACTTCTTGCTCTTGATCTGGCTGATTCGTTTGTTGGCAAGGCGACGTGGGCTGCTGCATCGAGCACCGCTGGTTTCTATTGGATTATCTTGCAGGTAATCAGCCAGCCACTTCAAATGGCAGTCGCACACAAATGGATTCTGAGCTAAATGCCTGCAAGAGGGATGGGATGTTTCACCAGAAGTGACCTGTGACACTGTGCTCCATCAATGTTTCTTACAAACACAAAATTGAAGAGTAGAGTAATTGAATCAGCTTCCCATGCACCAGGCCTGGCGGAAGCTGCATGGAGCTTCACTTGAATGGAAGACATTTTGTGAGCCATATTTATTTATTTATTTAAGCTAATTAATTCTGCAGTTAGCCTTTTCAAGAGGAAACAAAAAATAATACAGTAAATCCTACTTACAAGGGGCACATATCTTCTGTCTACAAAGCTACCTCTTTTTTTTCCAGTAGAAAGCCGGATACACATTTCAGTCAAATGCTTCTAATTAGAAATATATTGTTGAGAAGAATTACCCCCCAGAAAAATAAAGCTTTCTAGAGATCAGACTGAGAATATGTAAACTCATATACTCTACCTCAGAAGACTCTAGTGGAATCAGAGGTCTCCTTTCAAGAATGCAATGGAAGTCTAAATATATTGGTCAGAATCAATAGAATCTTACCTAAAATGCATGGACGCTTAAGCGTTAATTTTAACTTTTCCAACAATATTGGTCATGAAAACAAAACCAGACTAATACACCTACAAAGTCAGTATTTATTAGAAACTCATCCTGCCATACCCAAGGACGAAGTTGATTTATATATAATCCGTGGAAAAAATGTTCTATCCTGTAACTAGGGCTGTTCTTAATTTCATATACAGAATGAATAAAAAAAGGGGAAACATGATTTATTTATTATATTTCTAAGAGCATAAAAGATTATAATGATTTGCCATATAAAACTACACCAAAAGGTACAGCACGTCTTACAATTATTTTATTCAACTTGGCTAATTATTTGTGACAACATTAACTACTATTTGCTATTTTCCATTACTGTTTCATTGGCTAGTAGTAATTTTCTGTAACTTATGAAATGTATGTTTGAATGATCCTACTATACCCAAAACATCAAAATAAAGTTATATAAACAAATGAAGCATCACAAGGTAATTGCACAGAAAAACGAAAACACAAAACCATCCTCTGTTTTATGGCAGCCATTGATCCATCAGCAAGCTGTTGTCACGCACCAGCTTCTCATATGATTGGTTTGCCTCCTATGTTTGTCTGCAGAGTGTGAAGAAACTACATTGGGCTATAAGGCAAGTTAGAACACAAAATACCAGCTGCCATTTTGCAGAAGTTTCAAGTGGTTACTCTGTGGTAACTGCTCCATACAAAGTGTCATTTTATGCAACTAATCATAAGTTTAGATGGATTGGATAACATAGAGTATGGCTACATGCTAAGAATTTGAACAATACAAGCTGTGAGGGAACAGGAAGGGAGACAAAGAGGCAAATCAGCCCAAAGACCCATCTTTTGACCTTACTAAATTCTTCCTAATAATAGTTTAACTAAAAACATATCTGATGGAGCCAAGCAGCCTAGCTTACTTTTAAGAAAGACGTTCTCACACTATTGCGATGAATGGCTATCCAAGAAACTGTCAAAAATGGTATATACAACATATCTAATAAAATAAAACAATTTTGACTCTTCTCTTAATCCTTATAACTTGATACCATCTTTCATTGTAAGACACAAAAGAAAACAAAAATATATCAAATTGATATTTGGAAAAATAATATTTTAACAAAGACTCCATGGCCAAAAATGGTATAATGATATGCCATGTTTACTTGGTAAGAATGGGAGTGTAATTTTACATTAAATTTCATTATCCATGAGATATGCAGCTTTTGGTAAGGACTGTTACTGATTGATACTGAATACTTCGGTCATATAAAACCATTGAGCAAACATTTCTAAGGGAATGTAGTTTAAGACAAAGATGCAAGAAAATGATATAGAAGTATAAAACCAGATTCTGATGTTTAGAAGGAACTTTGTTCCTGGTTTTGGAACCCATTGCTTAATTACTTGAGGCTAAATCCAGTATAATGTGAGCGGACCTCTGCTTAAGCAATGGGAATTTGCTTCCCCTCCTGTGCTTTACAGTTCTGTCTAATCTATTTCACAGGGATGTTGTAAGGATTAAAAAATGGAGAGGAGGAGGACCAAGTAAGTGTCTTGGGTCCTTGCAGGAAGAATTAAAAGAGGATAAAAATAAAATAAGAAAATCTTATCAAGACGGTCCTCTAACCCTCCAGAGCAGATCTGAGGAGGCACTCAGAAAGGCAGAGGAATCTGATCTGCCAGTTGTGTTCATTCCACTGGCAGGAGGACACTGTTGGACACAGCAGCAAAGAAATCAGGGAGGTGAGCTCTGCCAAGGAGGATTTTCTCCTTTATGCCCCAGTTCCATCTCTGGTGCCTAACCTAAACCTTGGCTCTCCAAAATTAAATTGGGTTTTCTTCAGACTACCAATTTTCTATGCAACAGGAGTGCATTGCACATGCAACATAGGAAGTGATCATATGATTCCTCATGCTACTGCCTGGAGGAGAGTGAGGCTCACCCGCCACTGCAGCAATACAACAGACTTGCTTAGCTGTATCCTGGAGCAAATCACTTTTCAACAGCAGGGTTAGCCATGTCAGCAAGAACAGCCACAGACGGCTACTATAAAGCATCAGGGCTCTCTACTATGACCAGAAATTCCTAAAAGGGCCACTGCCAAGAGAAAACACTCTCTCGTATTATGTTACAGTGAAATGTGACTGTATTACGGTGATTCTGATTGTATCACTGACAGCTACATACACACTGTCCTCCAATTCTCCAGTTGTCTTGAGTCAGGAAGGGAAGTCAAATACTATATGCTTATAGTGCAATCCTACAGACTTCTACTCAAAAGCAAGTCTCATTGCATTCAGTGGGGCTTATTTCCAAGAAAGTGGATACAGGATTGTTGCCTTAATCTTTGTTTTCAAAAAGTTATTGCCAGGTATTTCTCCATTATTCTTTTACCCTCTCTCCCTCTTTTCTTTCAGTCCTTCCTACTATTTTTATATCTGTTGCACCCAACATGCTTTTCTTCCATTCCCTTCGCTATACTGCAAGCCATCAGTACCTCAATATCCATGGAATGGAATTGCTTCAGATTCAGTAATGTACTGGGTCTCTTTCTCAGGCACACAGCAGACATAATGTTGTTTCAGACTCAGGATTAAGAGGTTGAGAAAGGATCATAGGATGAAGTATGTCCATCTGTAAAAACATCTATAGGAAACAAATACTAGGCGAACCGCTAGAACCCATATATTAAATTCTTGAATACTCACAGAGTTTGAATGGATTGCAGAGGTGTGAAAAGCCCTTTGCTGATAGTCTGCAGTTTATTGTCATAGAGAGATAACAGATTGAGATTATGCAGATCTTGAAATGTGTTTACCCTCAGGCAGTTGATCTTGTTGGCATTGAGAAGCCTGTAAACAAAAAGAAGAGATTTTAAATACAAGCATTCTCCAGGGCCAAATAAAGCAAGACTGAAACTGATTAACCTCAGAAAAAATCATAGACAAAGCAAGGAATAGTTTGTATCTTTAGCCTTTTTGCTTATATATTTATAAAATTATTTATTAGTCATCATTTGGACCAAAAATCCCCCTGAGGAGACAGAAAAACAAAACCAGGTAAGAAGAAATCTTTTAAAAATAGAGAGCAGAATTACATTCAAAGCCACTCAGTCCTCATGTACAATAAATAATTTCCTAACGCTAAACAGGGCAGGAGCCACTCTAACATCCCCAGGCAGAGAGGGAGTTACACAATTAGAGAGCAGCCACAAAAAGGCCCTGTCCCATGTGTTCACCAGTCCAGCCTCTTATTGGAAGACCATGTGAAAGGCCTCTGAAATAGATCTTAAACCACAGGCAGGTTCTTACAGGAGAAGTAGGTTATTCAGATATCCCGTAAGGGCAGGGTGTGATCCTTTTGTATCCTGAGGGCCCAATTTAACTCTGAGGGCCATATTCTAAGAGCCAAAGGCAAAAAAAAAAACAAAAAAAAAAAACAAAAAAAAAAACCACCACCCTGCACATGTTAGTTTAAAGCTCTTACTGCCAGGAACTAAGCATGAGCAGAAGCCTATTAGAAATTACCTTCTTCATCAACTTGCATAAAAGTCAGGTTCACTTGTTGGAAGAAAGATTTGGGGAGTATGGTAACTGGAATATGTTCATCTGGGGAACCCTGGGAAGCCAGATTAAGGTCCCAGGCATGCCAGATTTGACCCTGCTGTTCTAGAACACCAAAATCATTTTGCTCAGACATGCCGTGTGGTCAATGCAGCTGCTATAATATGGTCAGCAAAGCAAATACCATATCGTAACCTGGCTGCTGCAGTTTGCATTAACTACAATTTCTGGACATTCTCCAAGGGCAGCCCTACACTGAATAAATTGTAGTGGTCCTAATAGAAGGGGATTATGGAATTGATCACTGTGGTCAGATCTGTCTTCTCTGGGAAGGAGTACAACTGTTACACTAAATAAAGCTGGACAAAATCAGTCCCAGTCACAGCAGCCACCTGATGCTCCATGACAATGTGTGAACTTGATCATTCAGGGGAAGTGCAAAGTCCTTCAGCAACCTAATGTAAATGTTAAGAAGCAGAGGACAAAATAAAGCCTTGAGGAATGGTTGGTTGCTCGGCAGTGCCTTGTGTGTGTGTCCAGCTAGACAGCACCAGAATTACTCAAAACCATGCTGGCCAACTTCCCAGGATGATATTATGGTTGATAGTATGGAATTCACTGAGAAATCCATCAGACCTAACAGGGACACATGCCCTCTGTCTAGTTTTGGATGTCAGTCATCTATCAAGGATAGCAAGGCTGTCTGTGATGGGAAAGAATCCAAATAGTTAGGTTCTTCTTTCTCAAATCCTTGGAGTTAAATTGCCATCACTTGTCTTATGAACTTTATGAGAAAAGGAATGTTGGTGAATATTATTATTGATTATATAGGGTGGTACGATCCAAAGACTGTTTTCAAATGGTGGTCTCTTTCTCTCTTATAAAGAGCTGCGATATTGCAATGTCTAAAAGAAGCATTTCCAACAAACAACAGCAGTCTGCTTCTAACAGCATTTAATAAGAAGAATAGTCAAGACCCCCACCTCCGCATGCGAAAAGAAGAGAAGAGATTAGCTTTACCCTCCAAGCAATTTATCCATTTACTTAGGCTGAACATGATGAAACTCCTTACTGAGAAGTCACAGAACTTTCCCTCAATGCAGAGTCCACTTTGGAATGGATACAAATCTTTGAATCAGTAAAGTATAGCAGGTTGCCAAGAGCTTCTGCTTGCTATTCCAGGGCTTCCTGTATAACAAGCATTTTACTACCTGGAACCTTTCCACTGGCCAAGACTGTGCTGCCAGTGTGGCAACAGAAGAGACAGCTTCTTTGCTACTAACTCTGCCATGGAATAGGCCTTAAAATGGGCCCTAACTCATGTTTAGTCAACCTTCCTGAGTCTTCTTCCAGCAGTGCTGCAGCCATGTACCTGAGAAAACTAATGACATATAAATACTCAACAGAAAGACGCTCGGGCATTGCCAAAAGTGTCTTGTAGTACAGGTCTATACTAGAAGTGTATGGGCACTTAGAAAGCCTCCTTAATTAAATAGTAAATAAATATTCAGTAATTAAAAATAATAATCCTGTCAGCTAGTGATACAATAGCAAACAGGAAGGGTCACCCAAGGAAGAAGGGCCAAGGGTGGGATACCAGACTAAGATGCACCCACTGTCTGCAGGCGTAACGGTCACAATCAGCAAAAAGAGCATGGATCTTATTAATGGTGATGGGATGGAGAAACTTCTGAAAGGCAGCCCCTGGCCCCTAAATGGGTTGGGGCCAGGTTAACAGAGAAACACCTCTTCCTGTATATGCCTATTCAGGCCTTAAGATAATCTTCTGGAGTCCTTCTTAATGAGCCCCATCTACTGGAAGTAAGGAGTGTGGCAACTGGAAGAAGGGTCTTCTTGATTGTGGTACACATTTATGGAATCAGCTCTGCAAAGATGTATGCCTAGCTCCTACCCTTTTTTCTTTCCGGCACCAGATGAAAACTTTTTTTAATTTTTCAGGCATTTTAATAATTAAAATTAATTTTAATACTGTATTTTATTACTGCTGTGCCTATGTTACAATTTAACTATGGCAGCAGTATTTTAATGTTTGTGTTTTTATTATTTTATTGTAATAAATGTCTGTTCTTATACTTTCTTGACCTGTTAGCTGCCCAGACAGCCTTTGGACTATTGGGTGGCATAAAAATTAAACAAACAAACAAACAAATAAAGGCAGCTATTGAGAAACTGTGGTAGTTGAAGGTGACATTGATGGATGATCTCTTAACAAACAGTGGCAGTGACACTCAAGCTAACTCTGATTAATACTGCACAAAAGAAGAATGTGGTAATCTACTTCTTAATTTTCTTACTTCCAACACCCTAGGACAAACGATAAATATGTGGTGAGAGTCAGTGTGGTGTAGTGGTGAAGAGCATGGGACTGGGACTCAGATGATCTGGGTTCCAGTCCTCATTCAGCCATGGACCCAGCTGGGTGACTTTGGGCCAGCCATAGACTCTCAGCCCAACCTACCTCACAGGGTTGTTGTGGGGATAAGATGGAGGAGGAGAATGATGTAAGCTGCCTTGAGCCCTTTGTAGGAAAAAGGCAGGATATAAATAAAAAAATAAAAAATAAATTAAATAAATATGAATAGTACTATTGCTACTTACACTACTAGGTCAAAACCAAAAGGAAGTCTATTGGCCAACATACACAGAGGTGAAAGGAAAGTCTGATGCTGCACAACACGTACAACTGGGACATGGGATGTGAGAAGTATGAAAAAAGGCAAACTAGAAAGAATGAAACAAGAAGTGTTCATTGTAATGTTGTATTTGGTGTAAGTGAACTAACATGGACTGGAATGGGACATTTCCTAGCAGACAAACACGAATTGTGGAAATGAAAAACTCAAAAGAAATGGAGTTGCTCTAATATTAAGGCAAACATAGGAGTAAATGGCTATAATACAAAAGTGACTGAATAATGTCAATCAGAATTAGTGGAAAACCTATCAACATAACTACCATTCATATCTATGCTCCAGCAATAGATGCTGAAGAAATCAAAAACTTTTATGTGGGTGTTCAAGAGGAAATTGATAGCATACCAAAACAAGACAAACTGCTAAACCTAGGTGACTGGAATGCAAAAGCAGGAAACAAAACAGAATCAATTATTTTAAGAAAATTTGACCAAGGGTTAAGAAATGAAACAGGAAATAAAAAGATTATGTAATTGGAAGTAGAAGGTGGACAAGATGAGGGATAGACTTCTACAGGGACCATTGGCTGTTAATTTCAAATATCAGGGTCAAGCTAAAAAATATTACCAAGAGAAACATAGTGCCAACATACTTAAATTATTTAACAAGCCTGAAGAATTTAAAGTCCACATAAAGAACAGATTTGCATTGCTCAACTTAACTGACCATAAGCCAGAAGAACTGTAGACTGAAAACAAAGATATTATCAGAGAAGAATGCCAAGCTACAAGAAAGAAAAGGCCTATATGGATGAGGGAACAAACACTCACAGTTGTAAAGGACAGGTGAAAAGCGAAAGCGAAAGGTGACAGAAATAGGGCCAGGATGCTGAATGCAACTGTTTAGTGACTATCAGGTTGGGACAAAAAGAACTATTACAATGATAAGTGCATGAAAGGGGAGGGAAGGGAAGGGAGGGAAGGGAAGGGAAGAGAGCAGGAGCAACAAGAGAGCTCTTTCAGATGATTGAAGAAATCAAAGGGAAATTCAAACCTTGATTAGGAAAGCTAAAAGAAAAACAAAGGAACATATTATCTGACCAGGAGAAAATACAGAGGAGGTGAAAGAATGACAGACTTCTTTAGAGCAGAATCCTATGAAGAAGAACCTATACCAGTAGAAAGCCAAGTGAAAGCTGCTTTGAAAGCACTCACAAAGAATAAGGCACCTGGATAGGAGACCAATAGAAGTATTCCTGCAGAAAATGAATCAATCCAAACCCTAACAAAAAATTGTCAACAAATATGGAAAACAAAAAAATGGGCCACAGACTGGAAAGGTTCAATATATATTCCAATCCCTGATAAAGGAGTTACAAAAGAATGCAGCAACAAGAGGACCATCGCATTAATCTCCCGTGCATGCAAAGTTTTGCAATGAAGAATACTACCCTGTATGGAGAGAGAAATGCCGGACTCACAAGCTGAAAAGAAAGAGGCAGGAAAAGTCATATTGCAAATGTACTTTGGCTACTGGTGTGTACCAAAGAATTTCAGAAAAAGATCACTATATTTTACTGACTGCAGCAAAGCCTTTGTGTGTATCATGAGAAGCTATGGATGATCCCGAAAGAAA